GTAACTAAAGATGAGAATTATTATTTTGAGATTCTGAATCTTAAAGGTTGGTTCTTTGCGGTTTGATGTTTACATTCACAAGAAAAAAACTAAAGGTGATGATAAAAGTAGTGATCTCAAACTCGTAATTGATTTTTGGTTGTCAAGATTAATTAATTGTTTAATGATCGATAGAGACAATTTTTTTCCTTGTGATCAAATATACAGAGTCTATATCTCAGTTATGGTCTTCTCTTCTTGATTAGATTCTATGACAAAAGATTCTTGTTTGTGTTTTTCTTCTCAGATATTTCACTAAAGATCATACTGCATAATTCTGTAAAATCTTGTTTGATTTCTACATGTATACTTACATAATCTCTCTAAATTTCACAGTTCAAGTTTTGGCTGGCGTTTCTCACTCAAAGTCAAGTCAACTACTAGACTGAAGGTAAAAAATCTGAACCCCTTTAAGATCACCATTGAAGATTTACTACTAAATTTTGGGCTTGGTTTAAAAATCCCTAGACCACTAAGTATGTAACAAGTCACAAGTTGTGTCTAATGAATAAAGAGACGGAGACTTCCCACTGACTTCTCTTCAAAGAAAAGTCTACAGTTAACTTTAATCCTCCTCCATATTTCTCTTTTCTGCTACTATCAACAAATTGAATGGTCACTCTGATCACAAAATTGCAACTTGTGTTTCCCCCTTTTAAGGAATTTTGTCCAATCACGAAACTAACCTTTGCGAGTTATTGAAAAGTTTGCATTGACAATGATGGTTCTTGACTTGGAGAGTGAATTTATACATATACAGTATATTGGTGGCTGTGAATGATTCATATTAGGGAGAAGCATTAAATGAATAAGCATCTAGAAACCACTCGAAATGATATGTCGTGGGGATACTTCTTTCTTTTCTTAAGGAGTGGCTTTGTGTGATCCAGTTACATGTTTTCATCTAAACTCTTGTGTTTTGTCTTCTACTCTTGTGTTTCTTAAAATTCTCATCTTTCTTAGTTGATCAGATTTGTGATCTTAAATTTACAGTGAAGAACACAGAGAACTGGAGAAATTAGCTACAGCTCAATTTCAGACGAGGTAAAGTTTGTAAAATTCCCATCTTCATGTTCTGTTTGATCGATACACGAGGAAATCTTGGTTCATACATGTATAAGGTTGTAAAGATTCGGTTTTTTTTCTTCAGGTTTCATTAGCACTTCATTAAATCCAGATCAGGAAGAGAGAACGAATGTTCAAATAGCGCAAAGCTGCGGATTTAATCCGATGGGAACAATGGCAGAATTGGGAACCATGGGAAAGTTTGGAGCCATGGCAGAAGAGCAGCAAGTTAACCAGATAGTCTTGTATAAACAATCAGCAGAAGAATGGCTGTTGCACGTCCATTCCCTCATACCAACCGTCCTCACCAAAGCGAAAACGGTTCAGAATTTCGCAGGACGATGGAAGACGATAATCTCAAAGATCAATCAGATTCCAGGTTGTTTATCTGACCTCTCAAGCCACCCTTGTTTCTCCAAGAACAAGCTCTGCAACGAGCAGTTGCAATCTGTGGCTAAGACACTAAACGAGGTGATAGAGCTTGCCGAGTTGTGTTCAACGGAAAAGTTCGAAGGAAAGCTGCGTATGCAGAGCAATCTCGACGCATTATCTGGAAAATTGGATTTGAATCTAAGAGACTGTATGGTTTTGATCAAGACCGGGGTTCTCGGTGAAGCTACATTACCTCTATACATCTCAAGCTCATCAGAAACACCCAAGATATCTGGTTTAAAAGAACTTCTAGCTAGGCTTCAAATCGGTCACTTGGAATCAAAACAAAATGCTCTCGAAAACCTCCTTCGTGCAATGCAAGAAGATGAGAAGATGGTTATGCCTTTGATTGGGCGAGCCAACGTAGCAGCTTTGGTTCAATTGTTAACAGTAACTTCGACAAGAATCAGAGAGAAAGCGGTGAATCTAATCAGTGTATTAGCGGAATCAGGACACTGCGACGAATGGCTCATCTCCGAAGGCGTATTGCCTCCTCTAGTGAGGCTAATCGAATCAGGAAGTCTTGAAACCAAAGAAAAAGCTGCAATTGCGATCCAGAGACTGTCGATAACAGAGGAAAACCCACGGGAAATCGCAGGACACGGCGGAATCACACCGCTTATCGATCTCTGTAAAACAGGGGACTCGGTGTCACAAGCTGCATCTGCAGCTGCTCTGAAGAACATTTCAGCAGTTTCAGAGCTAAGACAGTTACTTGCGGAAGAAGGAATGGTTAGAGTTGCAATCGATCTTCTAAACCATGGGATATTGTTAGGATCTAGAGAACACATGGCCGAGTGTTTGCAGAATCTCACTGCATCGAGCGAAGCTCTACGCGAAGCCATTGTTTCAGAAGGAGGAGTTCCGAGTCTCTTGGCTTATCTCGACGGTCCGTTGCCGCAAGAACCGGCGGTGACGGCGCTGAGAAATCTAATCCCTTCGGTGAATTCAGAGACATGGGTCGCTCTCAATTTGCTTCCACGATTAGCCCATGTTCTCAAGTCAGGATCTTTAGGCGCGCAACAAGCAGCAGCATCGGCGATTTGCCGTTTCGCTTGCTCGCCGGAGACGAAGAGGGTAGTGGGAGAATCCGGGTGCGTTCCGATGATCGTGAAGCTTCTGGAATCGAAATCAAACGGATGTAGAGAAGCGGCGGCTCAGGCGATCGCCGGATTGGTGACGGAAGCAAAAATCCGTCGGGAATTGAGAAAAGACGGGAAGAGCGTGACGAATCTGGTGATGTTGCTGGATTCGAACCCTGGGAACACGGCGAAGAAGTACGCCGTGGCGGGGCTTTTGGGGTTGTCGGGGAGCGAGAAGAGTAAGAAAGTGATGGTTTCGTACGGAGCAATTGGGTATCTGAAAAAGCTGTCGGAAATGGAAGTAATCGGCGCCGATAAGCTACTGGAGAAGCTTGAAAGAAGGAAACTGAGAAGCTTCTTTCGACGGTGAAGAAGAAAGATTAATGTTGATGATGATGTACAATAGTCTTTTAACTTTATCAAAAAGCCCATTGGGCAACTTCACTTAAAGCTTATAAATATTGGGCTTTATTATATGCAGGCCCATTATTTAAAATTGTCTCAAGCTTAACACTCAACAAACCCGGATATTTGCAGTGTTTAAATAACAAACAGCATTAGTATAGAGATGATTTGACTGCAAAACGGATATGGTATTTTATTAATCGGAATCTAAACTATGATTTATAGATTCAATTTATAGTGAATCTGATTTAAAAAAAAAAAAAAAGAACAATCGTAATCGAATAGTCGATAGGCTTTAATTAAATAGTTTTATCTTCCGTCACACAAAGAGACTACAAAAAGATACATGCGTGGAGATTTTTGATAATCATCCATGCAAGTTTGGCCAAAAAAACATCCT